GACAAGGACCGCGACGATCCGAGAGACAATAGATCGCGGCGCCAAGTGTGTTCTCATTACCGCAAATTAGACACCGGAAGCTCGGGCTCTGACGAACAATAAATATTCGATGGTCCGCGCGTGCTCGTTACCGAAATGCAAATTCATTTAAACCGGGCGAGTCATTAAGCTCTGTACGGTAATAACCAATCGAGCTTCGCATCAGATTGTTACTCAGGAACGTGTTCCCGCAGCAAGAGAACGACGAAAACAGGGTGGGATGGGACGGTTAAGAGGGTTGGAAAGAGAGGAGAGAAGAGTGAAAAGGGAAAGACGGCGAGGGGGCAGGAGGAGGGAAGGGCGACGGGGTTCGTGACAGAAAAAAGAGGAGGAGCCAGCGAGCAGGGGGGAAAAAACGACGAAAGAATGAAACAGCATATCGAAGAGACAGCCCTCGGTGTTCTTATTTGAAAATTAATTTGCCGCGAGATGGAACGACCAGTTTTTGAGCGGCCGTTTTATTGCATCGTGTTGTGCAACTGACACATCCGTCGACTCCTTGATTGCGCGCGCGAGCGCGCCCGCAGTTCATCGATGCAGATCGCCTCGCGAGGCTGCGAATATTCGAACCTGTATCGGGTATTCTTCTGTGGGAATCAACGGCCATTGTTCCGCGGAGCCGGCGACTTTGGCACGTTCGATTAATTTCTTGTCCAACGCTAGAACAGACATGCCACCGCGAGTGACAACGTCGAAATTACTAGAGTGCTTTTTTTCACGCGGCCTCGGCCATAATACGCGAGCAATAAAAATTAGTCGTTTCTCACGAAAGTGTCATCAGAATTTTATTAATCACGTAATAGAAGATCGGTCATGTTTGCTATGACTCGCTGTTCACAGGAAGCGCGGAATTCTCTCAAACTTGTGCGAGCTTCCGATCTGTCCGCATGTTAAAATCAGAAGTCCATGAGAACCTTGCAGATGCGTTTGCTTGGACGTCTCGGGATGTTTTCTATTTCTTTTTTCGTAGCGAAATTTGATTGATTTTAGAATCGAGCATGCCGTGAGAATGCAACTGAGAGCGTTGCACCTCTTGCCGCAGTGTTCGCATGCTTGTTCAGATGAGAGTTCAATGTACCAAACGACCCAGCAGTGAAAATTGAAGTTTCGACGATGTCCGAAGTACGTTACGCATTTATAGCACACACTATTCTCTGACCTTACAGCATAACTCAGAGAAATAAAACATACTAATGTTTTTTGTTATTGCAATAGAACTCTTGGTAACATATGTTTTCGATCGACAAATGAATATTAAATTTTCGCGATTATCGCAGAAAAAGTTGTACGTCCAAGATTCATGTAATTTGCATAAACATGCACAGTCTGGCAATACTCCACGTCACACGACGGGACAACTTCGTTTGCTGGCTATACATGACGCAACTACCGTTTTCATTGGGGATAGGTAATACAAGATTTTCTAAAAATTCGAAACCTCCGGTGTCCTTAATTCGAAGTACGCGGGATCCGCTGAAATCGTAATGAAAATAACGTTTGTAAAACGCAACATAGAAGTAAAAAGAATATATCAGGGAAGAAATCGGTGCATACCAATGAAGCAGATAACTCAAAATTATCTTCGATGCAGATTATGTTCTATTCGCGTTAACTTTACAACGCGTCAGATTCGATGCACGACTTTATCGATTCCAGATTTTTGCGAACGATCGAGATCCGATTAAACGGGATTCCGGAAGCGCAAGATCCTTACAAGATTTTATGGGATTTCCGCTCTTGAACAATCCCCGGAGAACTTCTAATATTAATAGTGTATGTATTTCACATCGCTGCTAATGTTGCACCATGAAAGTTTAGTTGTACACCGACGACTGCACCATAAACGGGTTCAATTGATTCGCGTAGCTCAAGTAACACGCCCCTTGAATCCCGAATACACGAAGAACGGAACGTTCGATCAAATGAGACAAATAACCTAATTACCGTTCCAAGCTGCATTCGCCATGGATCGATTCTCCTCGAGAAAACCAACCGTCCTTTACAACAATAGAAATGAATTTTGGCGAACGTCTATCCAGTTCAAGTGTCGAGCCAATTAAACGATTATTAATGGCCAATTTAAACGCGGCGGTGCGGCAACGGCGGGCGGTTCACACGCGGAGAGAAAATCCTAGTTCGCAGACATGTCACAGAACCCGGAGTCGCAAACTCACCAACACACGCTTCCACCAAATTCAGAAGTATATCACCGGCCACTCGTGTGTATGTCCCGCGATTCGATCGCGGCGCGTTTTTCACCCCGTCGTTAATGCGTTAATGCGCTCATTTACGCCTGGCACTGTCGTTCGCCGGTTTCCTCTGATCGCCTCTTTTTGCCATCGGTGTCTTTGCCTGTTCGACTGATTGCTTGCGCGGAACGTTCGCGCGGCCGTCGACTATCGTGAGAGAACCAATTCATTACGCTACGCGATGTATACCCAAGATTGTCATCTTGGTTGGCGATATCTTGATCCCGAGCGTCGTACCGTGAGTTTCCTTTCTTTTTCTGTACTCGTTTTCCTACCTTTCCCGGTCTGGGACAGAGGGAGAGGGGAGGGGGCGCATCACGGTTCGGTTCCGTTCGGTCTCGAGCATTTTAATCGCCTAATAAGGAGTGTCCTCGGGCATCTGTACTTCCGCGACGACTCCGCCAAGCCTGGTCGCAAAACCGCGAGTAGAACCGAGCTCGATTGATTTACAAAGTACCTAAGCCAGAGAACTTGGCGCGGTCATGCATGCGAGGTATACCGCACGCGACGACACTTGATCATCGGGGAAGACCGTCCCGAGCGATCATGTTCACGGGCGACTGAATTTCAGCAACTGGTCGACGACGTCAGTCATCTCTGATGATCGTGCGAGAGCGAGCTTGTCTCTCCGTTCGCCTGGATCACGCTCTCCGTCCACCGGGAGGCTCGTTTAACGAAAACCATCGAGGAGAGACGGAAACAGAGAGACAGACAGAGAAAGGATGAGAAAGAGAGAGAGTGAGAGTAAGAGAGAGAGAGAGAGAGAAAGAGAGAAGGATAATAATAAAATAAAAGCGGGGTGAGGGAAACGGAGTGAGCCGAATAAAAAGCCGAAAAACAAAAGAAAAAGACAAGGAGGGGGAGGAGGGAGAACGAAGCGAACGACGGGGCGGATTCGATCAACGAACCGAAGGACGCTCAAGGATGAGGGATGCCCGAGGTGTACATTGTCCGTGAACTCCGGCATCCCACGAACCACTCACAAAAGCGTTCATGATTTTCTTGTTCTCTCGATCAGCAGACAAAGAAACGTGTAAAAAATACGAGAAGAAACAGAAAAATAAGACGGAAAACAAGAAAAGATAAAACTAGCGAAGAAGGAGAAGAAGAGGAAGAAGAAGAAGAAGGAGAACAAGAAGAAGAAGAAGAAGAAGAAGAAGAAGGAGAACAAGTGTTCGGGACACAACACACTCTTAATTTGTTTGCGGCTACAATCGCTCTCCCTATTGTGTCTTGAACGTGGGCCCTCGGTTCGCGACGGTGCTGTTGTTTCCTGGCGAAACCTTGACGCAGCGTTCTATCGCGGTGGTTGTCGGCCACCTCGTGAACCGGCGCGGCAACCAGCAGCGAGCTCGATTTCCGAGGCAATCTCGATCGGGAGGATGAAGATGAAGTAGCGAGTTTCATCGGGTCTCCCATCAATGCAGTCGCCGCGACGTTTCGTAACGGCTCGGCTCGGCTCTCCAATCCAGTTCGCTTCGGAATTGAACATCTCCACCGGCAGGTATTACCCTAGGTAGAGCCGGGAAACTGTAGCCCCGGGCCGTTTCCCAGAAGTACAATGTTCTAGTTAATTGAAAATTTCGTGGCTTTCCTGCACGGTAGGCTGCGAGCCGGTACAATGCCAATTGAAAACATTCTCGAAACGTTGACCAGGTCAAGCGAAGAAGAACGCCGATCGTGGTGGTGCTGCTCTCGCTGCTGATGCTGCTTCTGCTGCTTCTGCTGCTGCCGTTGTTACTAATGCTGCTGTTGCTGTTGATGCTGGCGTTGTTGTTTCTTTCTCCGCCGTTTTCTTCTGCTGGTCCACTTCTCTGGCGTTAACACGGCGTCGTTTCTCTTTGGATTCGACCTGTTCTTCCAGTCGCTTTACTTCACCGACTGGTCGGTAATCGATCTGAAATCAGAAAAAAGTTTGGCCTGCGGTTAGCGATGTTTTACATTCGGCGCACCGGTCTTGGGAATCGCGTGGAAGAACACCGCTCGATTTGGACGAGTTTCTTGGGCGGCCTCTCGCCGCGTCTCTTTCTCTCGCGCCTGTTCCCTTCTTCTCTTCAGGCGAGCAATCGCTGCATACCGAAAGCCAGGCGGCTGGTGTGTTCGTGACGGGAATGTTTTAATTATTGGCATCACGCGCGCTCGATACGGGAGCGATCGTATTTAATATTTGCATGTCTGATTGAAACGTAGAGACGAAATTGATTTATTGGGCAACTTTAAATTGAACATACATTGGATANGAGAGACAGACAGAGAAAGGATGAGAAAGAGAGAGAGTGAGAGTAAGAGAGAGAGAGAGAGAGAAAGAGAGAAGGATAATAATAAAATAAAAGCGGGGTGAGGGAAACGGAGTGAGCCGAATAAAAAGCCGAAAAACAAAAGAAAAAGACAAGGAGGGGGAGGAGGGAGAACGAAGCGAACGACGGGGCGGATTCGATCAACGAACCGAAGGACGCTCAAGGATGAGGGATGCCCGAGGTGTACATTGTCCGTGAACTCCGGCATCCCACGAACCACTCACAAAAGCGTTCATGATTTTCTTGTTCTCTCGATCAGCAGACAAAGAAACGTGTAAAAAATACGAGAAGAAACAGAAAAATAAGACGGAAAACAAGAAAAGATAAAACTAGCGAAGAAGGAGAAGAAGAGGAAGAAGAAGAAGAAGGAGAACAAGAAGAAGAAGAAGAAGAAGAAGAAGAAGGAGAACAAGTGTTCGGGACACAACACACTCTTAATTTGTTTGCGGCTACAATCGCTCTCCCTATTGTGTCTTGAACGTGGGCCCTCGGTTCGCGACGGTGCTGTTGTTTCCTGGCGAAACCTTGACGCAGCGTTCTATCGCGGTGGTTGTCGGCCACCTCGTGAACCGGCGCGGCAACCAGCAGCGAGCTCGATTTCCGAGGCAATCTCGATCGGGAGGATGAAGATGAAGTAGCGAGTTTCATCGGGTCTCCCATCAATGCAGTCGCCGCGACGTTTCGTAACGGCTCGGCTCGGCTCTCCAATCCAGTTCGCTTCGGAATTGAACATCTCCACCGGCAGGTATTACCCTAGGTAGAGCCGGGAAACTGTAGCCCCGGGCCGTTTCCCAGAAGTACAATGTTCTAGTTAATTGAAAATTTCGTGGCTTTCCTGCACGGTAGGCTGCGAGCCGGTACAATGCCAATTGAAAACATTCTCGAAACGTTGACCAGGTCAAGCGAAGAAGAACGCCGATCGTGGTGGTGCTGCTCTCGCTGCTGATGCTGCTTCTGCTGCTTCTGCTGCTGCCGTTGTTACTAATGCTGCTGTTGCTGTTGATGCTGGCGTTGTTGTTTCTTTCTCCGCCGTTTTCTTCTGCTGGTCCACTTCTCTGGCGTTAACACGGCGTCGTTTCTCTTTGGATTCGACCTGTTCTTCCAGTCGCTTTACTTCACCGACTGGTCGGTAATCGATCTGAAATCAGAAAAAAGTTTGGCCTGCGGTTAGCGATGTTTTACATTCGGCGCACCGGTCTTGGGAATCGCGTGGAAGAACACCGCTCGATTTGGACGAGTTTCTTGGGCGGCCTCTCGCCGCGTCTCTTTCTCTCGCGCCTGTTCCCTTCTTCTCTTCAGGCGAGCAATCGCTGCATACCGAAAGCCAGGCGGCTGGTGTGTTCGTGACGGGAATGTTTTAATTATTGGCATCACGCGCGCTCGATACGGGAGCGATCGTATTTAATATTTGCATGTCTGATTGAAACGTAGAGACGAAATTGATTTATTGGGCAACTTTAAATTGAACATACATTGGATAAATACATGAATAATTCACATTTTAGTTCATTTTCTTGACAAATACACGGTAGAAAAGTATACTGGGAGAACAGTATTTGGTCATTCAAATTTTCATATAGAAGCGAACAATAATTTCCTTTATCTTCGCGGTATCAATATTTTAGAACGTTTGTACGTCTGTACGTGACTGTTTGAACGAGTGTTGATGCTGATTTTAGAAAATTTTCCATTTTATTGATGAAATTTTTCCTCATGATCCATTGTCTCGCTATTTTTATTCTCATTATCCGTTTTTGTTTTAGAGTATCGGTTTCTCTGCGTTGTTCACAGAAGATAATGGGAGAAATTGACCAATTTTGGTCTTAACTATGGCAATGATGAGTTCAAAACGAATGATTATAATAAACGTAAACTAAAGAGTTTCGTCGTTCGCAAATCACTGATTAGTAGTAGTTAGGTATCTTCTTCGGAAGATGATCCATCGGTAAAGCAATGATAGAAAACTCAGCTGGTAAATCGATCGTATATTGGTTTCGAACATAGCCAAAAAACTATAAAATTGTTGTTACACGAGGAAAACAACCGGGAACTCGTTCATCAATATTTACGTCCGCACGTATGCCCAATTATTCCGTCTAGTCCACTTTTAGTTTTGTCCACTAGCACATACAGAAAATATTTTACAATCTTTGAATATATTTGGGTCTTGATTAGAACAATAATAGAATGATCAATGTCAATATGACCGTTCCGGTAATTAATAGACCAAGATGTTGATGCTATTTGAAAATCAAAATCGTCTTGTTCGCTTATGTGTCAGTCAACAATGTGTTAATTCTAAAATCCAAATGGTACCTTTTTGAACATTATTTCAATATCACTTTTTCATGATAGATCATTGTCCAAAGAAAAGAATCGGATTATTTTCGAATGATGAAACTCTGAAGTTTACGTTTATTCCTCATAACTTTCCTCATCACTTCCAGAGTAAATAATTATGCAGTTCGTACTCCTCAGGATATATCCTATACAAAACATTCATTACCATGGTCAATTTCTACCATTATATTCTGTGCATAATGTAGAGAAATTAATGTTCTAAAAATTTCATCCAATAAAATGGAAAATTCTATAAAATATTCAATACTATGAATAGAAAACAAATTATTGTTCGCCTCTATGCAAATTTGAATGGCTAAATACTTTTTTTCTAAAATCTCGTTTGACCAAATACTTTTTCCTCAGCATAGTTTTCTTTGTTCACTGTATTTTTCACGAAAATGAACTAAAATGTTAATTATGCGTCGCGTATTTATTCAATCTCGTTTTTAAAATTACTTCGTTACTATTGCTTCTAGCCAAATACCAAATACTTATTGCCAAGGGTTGTAGACTATACAGACTTTTATAGACGAATTTAAAAACCCCGAACCTAATCATTTCCATGGAATAAAAATATTATAGGGCCATACAATTTCGTCGGAATTACCCTGTATTACTCTCTTGCATTTTCTACTTTACAATTCACTATACTCGCATAAAATCCGCACTCTATTCGTTGGCCATATTATTAAAACAGTACACTGTACATTTAATTGCATAATTGCTATAATTGCATAAAACAAGTGCAGTCTACTCGTTAGCCATATTATTAAAAGAGTTTGCTGTATATTTAATTGCATAATTGCTTTAATTGCACAAAACGTGATGTCTACTCATTAACCATATTATTAAAACAGTTCACCATATATTTCAGTCTTTTATTATGTCCCGTAAAATTTCCCTTATTGCAACGTTGGCGTCACTCTTTCCCAAAATACATTTCAAAACAAGAACAAAAGGAAATGAACCTTGACGCTGAAGTGCACTTAAATGGCGGCAATCAGGTAAAGGAGGGGCGATCCATGGGGCTGTATTGGAGAGAACCTAACCTACTAGACGAAGCGGGTGGAAACGAGATTTTCAACAATTTATATCGTTTTCCAAATGTTTATCAGTTTTGAAAATAGTTGCTTTTTTCCCACGTTACGCAATATTTTCTGTTCACCTCCTTTAAAAAAAAAAACCGTTCTTCGCGCGCGCGCGCGCGGTGCTGAAGTCTCACTGCTTAAAGCAGAAAGTAATGCTTCCAATTTTCGTTGAAAAATATAAACGATAATTTCAATTTTCAGAACACTCGAAGCAGTTTCATTGCATCCTCGAAGCAATTAAATTGTCATCGTATTATACTTGATCAAATAACATCATAACGATTGAATCGGATTTTTCTTGAAATGGCATTCGGCGCACGTGTACTCGTTCCATTAAGCGGCCCGATTATTTTTCAAAGTTTCGCTCGAATAACCCTTACGGCGCTGGCGTGCCGGGCTTATCCGGTGGATATTAAATCTGGTAGCGAGACATTTCTCATGAGAAAAGTTTACACCGGTCTCTGGTCGGAAACTTACCGCCAGGGGCTGGTTTAAGGACTTGTAGCTGGCAGATTGACGAAAGCGGAAGGCGAAAACTGTACGAACGTGATGGGAAAAGAGAGTCTGGGGGGAGAGTTCGCGTCGAGTCGCGGCGATGACGATGACGACGGAGGTGCGCCGCGGAAAAAGAGAGTGGGGACAAGGAGAAAGACGGGGAGAAAGACGGGGAGGAAGAGAAGAAAGCCGAGGGGGTATATTATGCTCGCTAAAGTAATGTTACCAACTCGAGAACTGGCGAACTAGCCGACAGTAAAATCCATTTTATGTCTGCCTCGTAAAGCCAGTCAAATGAAACCCGGGGACTTAGTTTTCATACGTGCATCCACACCCCATTCGCCCGGCCAGGCCAGACCCGGTTTCCTGCTCTCCACCACAGCGGGGAGGATCGTCACTGACTTTTTCGAAAGTCTAGACACGCTGGTTCCTCTTCACGGTGATACTGCGACGGTTTCGCTGATCTTTCCGGACTATTTCACCTACGGCTCCCTCCGCGACCTCGTCCCCGCTTTTAGGACCCTCCGATGAATAAGCTCCGATACGTCCGCGTAATAACAAAAAGATTTTCCAGAAATTCCCGGGATGCAAGGATACCAATTGAATTTTCATGCGACGCCCCGATGAACTCGCGCGACCGCCACGCTCCGCCGCGCATTGGGGTGGAATAACAAAGTTGCGAGAAAATCAAAGAATTTTCGAAGCCGAGACGTTGGAGAATGAAAGGAAAAGTAGAAGGAATATAGTATGAATATTTTTTAACCTTGAAGATTTTTGTGTCAAACTTGCAGTACTCTAACAAAATTATGATTTAATGATCGCTTAACGTAAATTGTAATCCGAAAGTTGTTCTTTACATCGATCTGTTTCACGCGGGGTTGACGTTAGAATACTATTACTATTTCACTATTATGTGTTTCATTTACCCACTGAGGATTTTATGCATTAGTGACAAAATATGAATAGACCAAATACAAAACAGTGAAAACATTCATACTATTTATATTTATATTATATTGTATTATATTGTATTGTATTGTATTATGTTGTATTATGTTGTATTATGTTGTATTATGTTATATTATATTATATTGTATTATATTATATTATATTGTATTATATTATATTATATTATATTATATTATATTATATTATATTATATTATATTGTATTGTATTGTATTGTATTGTATTGTATTGTATTGTATTGTATTGTATTGTATTGTATTGTATTGTATTGTATTGTATTGTATTGTATTGTATTGTATTGTATTGTATTGTATTGTATTGTATTGTATTGTATTGTATTGTATTGTATTGTATTGTATTGTATTGTATTGTATTGTATTGTATTGTATTGTATTGTATTGTATTGTATTGTATTGTATTGTATTGTATTGTATTGTATTGTATTGTATTGTATTGTATTGTATTGTATTGTATTGTATTGTATTGTATTGTATTGTATTGTATTGTATTGTATTGTATTGTATTGTATTGTATTGTATTGTATTGTATTGTATTGTATTGTATTGTATTGTATTGTATTGTATTGTATTGTATTGTATTGTATTGTATTGTATTGTATTGTATTGTATTGTATTGTATTGTATTGTATTGTATTGTATTGTATTGTATTGTATTGTATTGTATTGTATTGTATTGTATTGTATTGTATTGTATTGTATTGTATTGTATTGTATTGTATTGTATTGTATTGTATTGTATTGTATTGTATTGTATTGTATTGTATTGTATTGTATTGTATTGTATTGTATTGTATTGTATTGTATTGTATTGTATTGTATTGTATTGTATTGTATTGTATTGTATTGTATTGTATTGTATTGTATTGTATTGTATTGTATTGTATTGTATTGTATTGTATTGTATTGTATTGTATTGTATTGTATTGTATTGTATTGTATTGTATTGTATTGTATTGTATTGTATTGTATTGTATTGTATTGTATTGTATTGTATTGTATTGTATTGTATTGTATTGTATTGTATTGTATTGTATTGTATTGTATTGTATTGTATTGTATTGTATTGTATTGTATTGTATTGTATTGTATTGTATTGTATTGTATTGTATTGTATTGTATTGTATTGTATTGTATTGTATTGTATTGTATTGTATTGTATTGTATTGTATTGTATTGTATTGTATTGTATTGTATTGTATTGTATTGTATTGTATTGTATTGTAT